ACCACGTTTAGTTATTGAGCACCTGTTCTGGGCACTGTATGGATTTTATGTACATTGTAGACTTTGTTATTGCTCCAATAACCGTTAGGTAGGTTCTGTCTGGAAAGAGACAGAAAGAGAGAAGAGAGTGAGGAAGGAGTACAGAAGAAAGAGGAGAGTGAGTTGGAAAGAGAGAGACAGATAGAGGAGAGAAAGAAGGGAGGGAGATAGAGAGGAAGACAGAGAGAGACAGAGAGAGAGATACAGAGAGGCAGAGAGAGGCTGAGAGACAGGAGAGAGAAAGAGATACAGAGCGAGACGGAGGGAAGGACGATGGGGGGGGAGAGAACTAAATTATTACAGTAAGATCAAGTCATTTGCTATATCTCAATTCACTTAGTGGAGTTCCAGGATTTGAAACAAGTTCTGTTTTTATTGCAAAACCATGATTTTAGCCATTATGCTTGATTAATTCAATTTCATAAAAATCCCTTGAGAAAACATCAATATTGAAGGCATTACAGTCTTCCTAACTGAAAATACATAAAACTCACAACTTGGGAAAAGGGCTTTTTAATGCACACATACAAAACGCAATTTTTGTAGATTTTTGTAATTCCACTAACAAATTGGCAAGGTTAGCAAAAGGTAAATTCATAGTCTAGTAGGACTGATTTTACTGAATGAATGTTGAACCACTGGCAAAACCAAGTGGCCAGCCGCATTCAGATCACCCAGGAAGTTGTAGCTCTATACCTAGCAGTGTCCTCACGTGGCCACATGACTGTACTAGGTCAGCTTAGAAGAGACAGAAAAATTTCTCATCCTGTTCTTAATCATTCAAGAATGTTTCACCTTGCGAGAAACAGTCTGAGTCAGTGGTAAAATGTCTAAGAAAGACTACTTAATTTTCTCTGCAAGAATGAGATCTGTTTCCTTTGAACCATATTCAGAGACATCCAATTTTAATGAAGAAAGTCATGCTTTATAATGGCCCAGCAACTGCAAAATCTTTAATAACGCAGTTATCCTTTCATCAGGTCTTTTGGAAGAATTCTAAAGACATCCGACAATTTATCTCAACTTTCAACTCTCATTTGACTCACATGATATGCCAGGAGATGTGAATGTGTCAATATTGGTATTATTTGAACTAGTTTGACCAGACATTGCAGTCTAAGTGTTGCTTTAAAACACGTGAATTACTGGTTCTTTACCTTAATTAACACATGAAAGGTGACGGAGGGAATGTTTGTAGTATAAACAATGTTAAATGAATATAGATTAAGCAGGTTTTGTATATTTATGGAAATAGAAGACAATAAATGATTTGCCTAACACCAAACATATAGTAGTTTACACCAGCTTTCATTCATTCTTTAATGGGATTTAGAAAACATGCAAAGCAGCTTAATTTGAGTCTATCGACTCTGAAATTAGACATGAGTACAACATCAAAACTCATCTTCACCTTTAAGCCTGAAGTTTGTGGGTAAGCTATTTATCTGCCTTTCCAGAGTCTTAATTTCTGCATGTGCAAAATGGCTAGGTGAGTATACAAGGAATGTCTAGTCAATGCCTGAGGTATACTAGGTGCTAGCAATGCGGTTTTTCTTCTCAGACTCTGAAAGTGAAGGAAACTTTAGGGTGGAATACAAAATATATAAGATACTAATACTGTCTTCACAGAGCCACAGCACTTGAAAATACTAAAAGCGAATGAGCCCCAAAGGATTAGGATGGTTAGATCCAATACTGGCCACACCACCTGAAGTTCCTCATGGTAATGCATGGAGTCTCTTCCCATCCCTTGCAGTAAGGCTGACCTTGTCATTTGCTTTGACTATTAGGGCATCCTGGACTGTACACTGTCACTGGACCTGAGCCTGCAGAAACTACCACAGCCCTGTGAACCAGCCCAGCCTGCTGGCAGATGAGAGGATATATGAACTGAGATCAGAGACACCAGTCCTGACAGAGGCCCTCTGAGGTTGATCAGTGTCGCACCAGTGTAGTAGCTGATCACAGATGATGAGTTACTCTAGCCAAGATCAACATGACTAACAGAATCATGGATTAAATAAATGCTGGCTGTTTTAAACTACTCTGTCTGGAGGCAGGGGTTAGTTATGCAGCAATAGACAACTGATGCACATGTAAGGAGACAGCTTTCTAACCAAAATACAAAATCAGGGGGACACAGGTTTGAGACGACTTCTGGAAATGATTATTCATGAATACCAACTTAATACTGTGCATACCCAGTTGCTACTGCTCTAGATTAATAAAAGATGGAAATCTCTCACTAGTGGGAATCAAGGATTTCATGTGCAAATGATTCTCTGCAACTAGAAGTATAGTGATTAATTTCCCCCAGGCAAAGTTTGCTGAGGTTTCTTTACTTTTGGAGTCTGGGAACTGTTGTTACGCACTGTACATGGCAACAGAGGAACAGAGGGTGGCAAGGGAAAAATGTGGGAAAAAATAATGTTGAAAATAAAAGGATTTGGGACAATGTATGAAAGTTTCATACTGCAGATGGCAAAAGCAAAGCCTGTGTAGCATCTTTTTGCTGTCTGCTGTCCATTGCAGAAAATGGATCCTGGCCTTTATATAACCTTTTTATTTTTTTCCATCTTTACTAGGTAGAGCACGACATGAATGTGATTAAGTGTAATTTTAAAATTGTGTCATATTGGTTTCTCTTTGTGAAGCAGACAACTAAGTATGCCTTTGAAGGGAGTAATTTGAGATTTACACATAAAAAATCACCATGCAGCTGAAAAGTGCTTCTTCCTAAATAGGGGCTACATTCTGTGATTTGTGCGATGGTTAACTTTGTGCTTATTTTGTGCAAGTTTCAGAGGTCAGCCACAGGTTATTTTGAAAAGTGGGAAGTCTGAAAAGCAGGGAAAAGACAGTTTGTTCCTCCTTGTGCAAATCAATACTATGACACAGGTGGGGTGGGGGTGGTGAAGCTTAGAGTTCCTCGAGATGGCAGCTGTTACATCTACTCACTGCCCCCTAAATGCCTAGGAAAATGGTGTCCTTGAGCAGCAACCACAATTTGCTGATTTGGGTTGAAATATGCCCATTCAGGGCTTATTACTTCTTAGAATATTAAGGGTTATCACAGACTTTGGAAAGAGAAGAAATAGAGTGGGACTAGAAAGAGGTGGAAAGCAATTTTCTCATTGTCAAAAAGACACAAAACCATTGTAATGACAAAAAACTTGTCCTTAGCATCTCTCAGCTAATCTTATTTCCTTCCTCTATTTCTCAGTTTGGAATTGCCCATGTGAATAAGGGATAATTGGTTATGTGCTGTCAGACCAAAAGAAAAGGTTCTCGAACTTGGGGGAAGATTTGTTGGCAGTTGTGTGGTTTGATCTTCTTACAGGTCCAGAAATCCCTGACGGCTGGTCATCCAGGTTTGGGTTGAAGGCTTCCACATGTAAGTCATTCTGTTGGTGTTGGCTGTCCAGCTGTTAGTTTGTCACTGCAGTGAACTGATTCATAATTATCATCACACACCTACCTCTTGCTTCCAGTTCTGCCTTTTGAAGTGGGCAAGAATATATTTTGAACTTTCTGGTGTAGTTGAATAGGGCCAGGCATTGCTCAAGAGAGAGTACTCAACTAGAATTTAAGATCTTAGTTTTGAAACTGAGCAGCTAATTTCTTGTTCCTTATTTATTGTTCACTCCAATTCTATGCTCAATATTTTGTTAATATTACTTTTGAAAGGTACACTAGGAACAGAATATAATCACATAGTTATAAAATGATCAAGGTGAAGGCTAAGTTATGATATATATGCATGTAATTGTCTATTTTTATATCTACCCATCCATCCATCCACCCATCTATCTCAGAAAGAATTCTGGACAGGAAGTAGTTAGACCAGAGGTCACAAAGCCCAGTGCTTTTAGAGGCAGGCAGTTAATGAAAACATTTGAAAGGGACAGAGAACTTGTAGTTAGGGTTTCTGGAAAGACAAAAGGGACTGGCAGAAATCTGTGACTTGAAAGATACATTGGATTTAAAGGCAGATAGAGAAGCCATCATCTGCAATGAGCTCAATGATCCCCACATCCTAATACATACCTCACCCCGGGAAAGCCTCCTTCTCCCTTGTCCGGGGTTTGGTTTGTAAGACCAGTAGCATACACAAAATATGATGGCATATCACTTCTGAGGTTATGATATAAATGTGTGTCACTTGTCTTGGGTACTCTCTCTGGAGATCACCATCAGCATGTCATATGGTCATTCAGGTGACCAATGAGATGGCTGATTTGCAGAAGAAAAAAAAGACCTGCTGAAAAATGGTTGAATGAGCTTAGAAATGATTGCTTTCTCATTTTAGCCTTGAGATAGCTTCAGCTCCAGTGAAGAACTTGATAGCACCCCACGAAAGAGTCCGAACTACTAGCTAAACCAATCTTGGATTCCTGACCATAGAAACTGCAAGATCACAGGTATGCATGTCTCATACCACTAAGTTTGGGGGAACTTATTACATAATAATAGATAACTAATATTGCACTCAAGTTCAGTATAAATCAGCAGTGGTGAAATACAAGGCTGCAGTTTACAGATCTGAGTTTCTCAAGAAAACATGGATATATAAAAGTAAAAAAGTATGCTTTAAGGTTATTCTCAGAGCTCACTCAACAGTTTAGCTTCTGTTGGAAGGGAGTAGGTGGAATTTACTTATACATCAAATAGGGACCTATTTTTTTCCTGAAAATAGGAACAGAATATAATTTTTCCTGTTTCTGTAGGGTGACAATGAAGATGGAGGCAGAACCTAGAGAACTCTGACAAAAGTCCTGCTCAAGAATACAAAGAACAGAAAGCTAGGCAGAACTCCTGCATGACCAATTAGAAAATCATTTCCCCTCCTAGTGACTAAGCACTAGGAGAAAGCACTCTAGAAAAAGTGGTAGAAGAATCAATGTCACATGTTCTGAATGTTTGTATCTCTCGAAAATTCATAAGTTGAAAGTCATTCCCACATGATGGAATTACAAGACACAGCCTTTTGGAAGTGGATAGGCCACAAGGGAATGGGATTCATGTCCTTGTGAAAGAGCCCAAGAGGCCTCTGCCACCACGTGAAAATGGGCTCTTATCAGACAAGAATGCCAACACCGTGCCTTGAACTTCCAGCCTTCAGAACATTGAGAAATCAGTGTTCACGGTAAGCCGAAAATGACTGAGACAATCTTTCTCAGAAATCCAACACATACTTCATCCTGTAGAGTCTAACCAGAGAACTACAGTGCACTTTAGATTATTAAGGTGGAACTCAGTGGAGGAGAACAGTGTAGGGCACACAGAAGGGAACTAAGACACATTTTTCATTGTCAGAACATTAATCGAACTCAGGACTTGCCAGGTCAAGACACGTCTTCGAATAAAAAAGTGACTGGCTGACCAAAGGAAGAGCCTGGAGTTTACAAGGCAAAGCAGAGCAGAGCAGAGCAGAGCAAATTAAGTTGAAGCAAATCAAAACCAAAACATCACACTGTGACCAGAACAGAGACAAATTCATTCAGGAAATTGTTTCACAAATAACTTAATGAAGAGTATGAAAGTGTGTGTGTGTTTTCTTTCTTTCTTTCTTTCTTTCTTTCTTTCTTTCTTTCTTTCTTTCTTTCTTTCTTTTCTTTCTTTCTTTTTGTATTTTTTTAAGACAGGGTTTCACTCTACAGTTCAGGCTGGTCTTGAACTCACTTTGTAGCCCAGGCTGGCCTTGAACTCGCAGCAATCCTCCTCCTGTCTTTGCTTCCTGAGTGCTGGAATTTTAGGTGTGTGGCACCATGCCTCAGCGAAAGTGTGCTTTAGAATCTTCCTATATACTTTTGGTATAGTTTCTCATAGAGTTATGATAATAAATCGAACATGGAGCTAAATATGCATTGTGAATTTCTAGAGTTCAGATCCTGTAATCCTAACAAACGTTTCCATCCTTACCTTCACAAAAGCCCCCAAGTTTTGTTACAAAGAGTGCTCACAGGAATGGGTATTACTTTTTAGTCAGACTCCTCAAGCAGGAGTGGGTACAACAGGCTATGGGATGCTCTAATAAAGTGCTGCTTCACCAAGAATCATTTCTGTCAGCACGATGCAGAGTCAATAGCAGGGTACTTCAGAAAGTGCCAGGAGCCATCGTCCACAGCAGAAAATTATAATCACTACACAGCTGGAAGGAAGGAAAACCTTGTGGCTTTAGTAAGTAAAGGAGTACAGCTCAAGATTAAGCTCAGGGGTAAAAAAGTTCAGCAATACTCAGATAGAAAACAGGTTGACCCCCTAGTCTAAAAACTAAAGGAGCTAGTGGGACCCAAAATATACAAAGCACCCTGAGAAAGGGAAAGGGGAGGAATTGCCTAAAAAAGGAAGGCAGAGGACATTGTCAAAAGTGTATCAGGATTTAAAAGCCATAGTAGTCTTATTGCTCTGTTTAGTTTGATTATATTTTGTTCGGGTCTGTCTACTCATATGAGATTTGAGGGCACAGAAGCTAACCCAAAAATAGCACATTATACCACGGTAACTTTCCTTAATTTCTTGTTATCTTAAACTGAAGCCCTGTACTACTTACATTGTCTTACTATGATTGATTATATTTGAAGCTGGTTTATTAGATCTTGGTTTTGTCTTGACTGATTTTATTCGAATTTGGTATGCTTGATAGTATCAAGTCTAAAAGTAGAGGCAACTACTCTCAAGATGACAATATGTAAAAGATATCCATACCAGTTTTGATTATTAACCACTTTCAAGTCCTACAATGTCTTCATAGTTGTGTTTTTATAAAAATAGCTATGTAATGTTATGCTTAACTATATAATGCCTGATGATGTGGACAACTCTCTTGTTGAAAATAACAAGAGAAAGCATAGTAACTACTGTAGATCACCTAATATTGTGGTCTTATATGTCTTTTTCATTTCATGTTTTTCTAGGAATTTGTTTTGTTGTTTTGTTTTGATCTGTTTTTCCCTATAATACAGAAAGGATAGATATACATGTAGAGATTCACACATGGGAAGAATTTCTACACTATTTACGGGAACAGAGTATATAATACGCAATGTAATGAACAGATACTCTGTAGAAGAGACCTAAGAAACCCAATGCTAATTCTGTAGCATTATGATACAAAATCTAGCAATAGTATTATTCACTGTTCAGAGTGATATTAGTCTAGTCTTTTATGTTCAATTTAAAGATAAAGACAGCTACTATGAAGAGAATGAGAGACATTATGGTAGTCATTATTGACTTCCCCAAAATCAGGTCTTGAAGACCTAAAAAGCCTTCATCATTATGTAATGATTTGATTAGTTCTATAATGTTTAGTATATATTCAATGTGTGTGAAGATGTGGACAACTATTTGGAAGAAAACTAGAGACAATAAGATAGACTGTGAAGATCTCCAGTGAACTTGCTTTGAAATCTGTTTCCTCATGAACTGTTTCCTCATGAACTGTTCTGTTCTGTTTTGTCATGTTTAATCTTGCCCTCTTTAAAATAAAAAACAAGTGTGTAGGACTGATAACCATTTTACTAAGTTTTTGTTGGGTCATTGAGCAGAATTGTTGCAGTGTCATTATTTGAATGTCACTTTGTATGTTTTAATTTTGTAACTTGAACAACTATTTCTAAGATGACAATATGTAAATTATCAACTAATGATTTCTTATTGTTTATTTTTCTGAAATCCTGTATTATTTCTACCTTCTTTTCTCTCTTTAAATAAAAAAAAATTGCAAAGTAAAAAAAGAAAATTATAATCAAGGTCCAGCTGAAGTTGGGCCATCATTAGGAAAAGTCAGGGGGATATGTTACATGCAGTGTGCGGTGTTTGGTGTTTTGTGGAAATACCAAAAGTGTCAACTGGGAAGATTGAGAAAAACATGAGGGGAGAAGATGCCACTGGGAAACAAGTATGAAAGAGTAGTAGGAGATTAAAACCCATGTGCTTAAATTAGTCAGATAGAAAATGTTGATGTTTTATAATTTACATTGTTTGGAAGAAAATATCTCACTGTGGATACAAGAGATTTAGTTTAGGATAAGGCACTGGTGAAAATCATTGCATTAAAATGCTTCCTTCTTGCCAGTATTCTTAGCGATCTTAATGTTACAGTCTCGAGGATTATAGAGGATTGGTGGTCCTTGGAGGAGGTTAGAAAAGGAGAAGGAAATAAACTATATTTAAGAAGCTTCAAGTGTTCTGGAATTTCTATCTTTTAGCCCTCCCTCCATTATTCTCTCCTTCTTTCTCCCCTTCCTTCTTTCCATCCTCCTCCTCCTCCCCTCTCCTCCCCTCTCATCCCCTCCCCTTTCCTTCCCTTCCCTTCCCTCTTTTTGTGGTGCTGAGTATTGAACAGGACCTTTTGAATGCTAGGTCAGCACTCTAACCACTGAGCTATATCCTAGCCCCTTTGCTGTTTTTTTAGGTGAGATTAGATTCATTCTCATTACTGTCCAAAGAAAGAGGCACTAAGGGAAGCAGTTTAAGAAGTAAAGGATTGTGCTCCTGCCCCAAGAAGGAGACAGGACACTGAACCCATGTCCCTTGGTGGCCCTGTAATAGGGAATGTATGGGCTGACTGTTTATGAGGAGAGGATTGAAATATTAACTCATTTATTGCTCACCCATTTTGCCTTCCTTCTGAAACTCAAGAAATTATACCAGTCTGTTCATTTTCTCATGGAAATAGTGTGACTAAAGAAGATAGTTAAAAAATAGAATTTGACATCTAGCAACACATTTCCTCCTTACCTTCATGCTAAAATAGAAATGATTTGGCTGTCTCAGATAATATTAGAAGGTGTCTTTCCAAAATCTAGTCTTTGGGTCTTAATCCTTAAATGTATCCAGTTATCTCCTCCAGACTTGGTCTGTGCTTTGGGTGATTCTGGTGCCAGATTCACCTCCCGATCTTTATTGGTGACTGCCAGTGACGATGGTTTCACTTGCCAGACTACTGAGAACTTTGGAAAATAAGATGTACATGGAGGGGGGGGTGCTGGGGATTTAGCTCAGCGGTGTAAGCAACTGCCTTGCAAGCAGGCGGTCAGGAGTTTGATCCCTGGTACTGATAAAAAAAAAAAAAAAAAAAGATGTACCTGGGAAGCTTTCCTCAATTTTAAGAAGAGATAAAAACATGAAGTGGCCTTTCTTCTGCCTCTGAGAGCACTGCATTTGAATAAGATGTTTGGAACTGAGGAGGAAGTGGGGCACTCCAATGGAGCCCTGCCACAGGGAGAGTCAGGGAAGTTTAGTGAAATGGAGCCAAAGTGATCCTCCTTTCTTAGAACTATCTCATCTCTAAATGTCTCATTATGTGGTGTTACAAACTGCATCATTGTTCTGGGTATTTGAATCAGCTCTGTCATGCCCTGTAGCCATATGGATCCCACCTGGTACATGGCGAAAGGAACAAAAGGAAAGGAATAAGATATATAGATCTAGATATAAGTATAGGTGTAGGTATGGGTATGGGCATGGTGTAGGAATAGGTATATATCTGAGCAGTGCTGGGAACAAAAGGACTAGCTCAGGGTCCCAAACTGGAAGATATTCAGCATAAAGATCACCTGGACCCCAACAAGGGGAATCCTATGCATCTCTTGTCCACAGGATGCACCAGTTTTTCCTGTAAACAACTGGTGTGGATGTTCCTTCTCTAGTAGTCAGAATTATGCCTGAGAGCTGCTTGGCAAAAATGACACCTCTTCACTCAATATCAAAACAGGCACGGTCATACGTGTATGTGAGATTACCTTTTCTGAAACTTACAGATTCTAATTCCTAATGAATATAGGTAATGTGAAATTATTAAACTACCTCCTGGTTTTTCTCTGTCGAGGTTATTGTACTCTGAGTGCAGCAGGAACTAGGAAGCTTAGCCTTCCTTGAGAGCAGACTAGTCATCCAGAAATCTGAGAACTGTCCCTATGTCTAGCCTAGTTTCACACTCATGGATTTTGTTCATTTGCCATTTTTTTAGTTGCAATCTGCCACCTTCCATTTGCTTATCTGTTGATAGCAGCTGTCTGTCTCCTGATACCACCTTTTGCATCTTGAAACAGCCCTTTAATGAGCCCATCACTGGGTGCCTTATCTAGGCGAATAGACACAGACCAGCATATCTATTATTTGGAGACGCTTCCTAGACAC